ATTCAAGGGATTTATTTCAATCACTTTCTTTATGTTCTTTTATTTTTATTATATGCGTGTAAGCTCAAGGAAGCCCAACCGATTTTGCAAAGGTGTTAATGAGGAATGAGGATATAAACGGGCTAATGATTGGGGAGATTAATAGATAGTATGCTAAGAAGTTAGTGGAATGATGAAAAGTTGTATAACCCATTATTATATGGGTTTGATAGTCACGAGGTGGCGGCTCGTTTAGCAAAATGAGCTAATAAGAGACGGTGAATAAAGTCCGTACTTTTTAATAATGATTTTTAAGACCTGACTTCACCACGTGACTATCTGTTAGTAGCTTATTAAGAAAAATAACCGCCCACCTCATGCACAAAATAAATTAAAAAATTTTAAAATTCTAAGAAATTGCCAATTGGTGACCAGGAGCCTTGGTTAAATATATAGATAGATACAGGAAACTGAAATAGACAATCTCATTGACTCAGAGGATTCGTTTGGATCCAATAAATGGCTCTTGAACAATTATGGCGCAAGAAAAACTTTGAAAAATAGTGAAACATCCAAAATATTGAAGAGAGAGTCGCTATAATAATGATCCTTGCAATGAGGAAACAGATTCTCTAAAAATCTCTCTACAACAGACTTCCGAAATATAATCATACATGCTGCCCAAACTGATATTTCACAAGATCAAATTTCTAACAGTGATCCAACCAAACTTGGAGAAAAATAGCATTTCCCAAAAAATCGAAATCCAGCAAAGGATTTATGTAGCAAACAGCAAACTCTCAGAAGAGTAAAACATCACTGGCTTACATCTTGCAAAATAAATTCTCTCTCAACGTGCTCTAACTTTGGGCATTAACCAGATAAAATCATGAACACACCCCCAAAAAAAAATCACTGTAGAAAGAATAAGGGGCTGTTTGGTTGTTGTTGGTAAAGTTGTGTATTTATGACACAACTTGAAAAGTTGTTGTCCACCTCATCAATTTCACTTTTATACTTTTCTTTGTTTGTTTTTTATTCCATTGGAATCATAAAACACTTGTTTGGTTTGCAAAATAAAACTTTAATTGTTTGTTTGGAAAGTGTAATAAGTGGTCCCTACTCAAATGATCATATTGGTTGTAATTATTTTTTATTATTTTTTCCTAACTTCAATGTTAGCTTTCTTCTAAAATCATGTCTTTTTTTCATGAAATCACTTTACAAGCCACATCAACATATGAAATCACTTTACACTATTTTCACAACTACAAACAAACAATTGAAAGTGATGAAAGCTAACATTGGGACCCACTTTTTTACACTTTACATCCTTTTACATGGTAAAAACATACAAGCAAACAGCCCCTAAAAGACCCATCACAAAATACAAGTCACCCTTCTCCTATTAAGGTGAAAAAAAGAAGTATTGATAAAAAAAAAAAAATTCAGCAAATGGTAACAAACAAATAATTGTTTAAAAATCATTATAGCCAAGTAAAAGACAGCTATGATATAGCTTTAAAGATCATGAATAATGAATAATATAAAATGACAAGCATAGCAGAAGCAGCAACAGCCCAACCACATTGAAAACAATCTTATGCAGCAAAAATCAAAGGCCAGTCCCTGAACAATAACCAATAATAAACATAAAAATAAACTTAAAAAATAAAACATAAACCCCCCATAACCCTCTACATTTAGGATTTCAGTTCAAAACTATCCAGTTAAAAGAAATCAAACTCCAAATAATTATCAGAACCCTTCTGCAGTTCCTGTGCATCAGCAGCTGCAGCTTTTGCCTTGCTTCCACTGGCCTTCTCAATCACCACAGGCTTAGGAACTTCAGGAGGACTCGCGCACCGAATCAACGCCCAGTTCACTCCCTCGAAGAACGGATGCTGCTTAATCTCCGTTGCTCCTCGTTTAACCCCTAACCGATTCTGTGGCTCTTTCACCAGCAAACCCCGAATCAAATCTTTCACCGCGAAACTCACTACAGGACTCTCTGGAAACCGAAGAGGTTGTCCGACTACGTTGAACAGTGTTGCTCGGTTGCCTGAACCCTTGAAAGGGGTCTTCCCAAATGCGAGTTCGTATAGAAAGATTCCTAAGGTCCACCAGTCTACAGCGCTCCCGTGACCATCGCCTCTGATGATTTCAGGGGCGAGGTATTCATGAGTCCCGACAAATGACATTGAACGGGCATCAGTGGGCTCGGCAACGAGCTCAGGTAACGGGATTACTTGGTTAGCGCTGGACTCTGCTACTTGCGGCTTGGTTTTGTTACGGGTTTTCTTGGATTTATAGGAAAAGAGTCTTGGAGAGAAGCAGGACGTGGGGACTGCACATGAAGGTTGGATGCAGGATGGGGGCTCAATGCAGAAGGTGGCTGCTTGTTGAGGTAAGCCGGAAGAGTTGGAGTTGATTAGGGTTGGGCTGAAAGAGCAGCGGAGGGAGAGATCAAAGTCTGAAAGCATTATGTGGCCATCTTCACGTACGAGGATGTTCTCAGGTTTGAGATCTCGGTAGATGATGCCAAGCATATGGAGGTATTCCAAGGCCAATAGGACCTCTGCGACATAGAACCTGCATAAATTCAGTGATAGTCAAATCTCAGTGTTTGCTGATATAGAATGTGCAAAATGATTGGTAGCTCACAAATCATTATAAAGAAAAATGATAAGTTCAGCCTTTCTCGTGAAAGAAAATAGATAAACAAAATTAATCGTTTGAAGCATAATTATCATACAAATCTACAATTCTACATTATCCTATATTTTCTTCAGGAAAATAATAATCTCAGTGTTAGATGAAGGAATAATAAAGATAATTGATTTTAAACGTAGTGAACTCTCCTAGTCCTCGTTAATAAATATTCTCTTCAATTATTGGTCATCTACCTTGGTTCATGCCACTTTAGATTGTCCAAAACCAGCACATTTGCATAAGTTCCACAGTTCCATTAACAAGCCCCTTTATAATTTTTGAAAAGAAAGTGCAAAGATAGATTCTATTGAAACTAATTTCATAAGATGTCCTCAAGTACAATTATGGAAGATTCACTTCTTTCATGATAAGTAGTACTCACTATATGTCCATCACAGATGAAAAGTAGAGGAAATCTTAGAAAAAAGGATGATAAAAATTTTAAAGCCCATAATTCTAATATTGGACAAGATAAGATCTACAAAGAAGGGTAAATACTACTAAAATCATATCTATTTATAGGGAAAATTCATTTTGTACCACACATATTATGCCTTTACACAGTTCTTAATCTACTGCAATTATGTGTTTATAACTAGTGAGAACAGCATACACTGACATACATATGGATAGCCATCTAATATATCTGATGGAGTAACGTCTATCATCATAACAAATTCATGAAGCATCATTATCTCTCTAAGCACCATAAAGTGGACTAAGACAACATAAATATTAAGGCAAACAATGTTTCAGTAATAACTAATAAGAGACTCATGAGATATGATTCAAAAGTCATACAATTAGTTAAAACATGCTACAGCATTACTATCAATGGTATGGAATTTATAGATCACAGGATTAGTCAAGCACCACAACTTCAAAGAAACACTTCCACAGCATAAAAAATGAAAGCAGACAGTATTACAGCCATATGAGCTTTAGTGCACAAATCACAACAGAAAAGCATATGTTCACATATGGCCTGCCTTTTAATAATATTTATGATTTCATGATTGTTGAAAGAAATAGTTTAAAGAGAAAGGACAATGTCAGATATCAAATGACACTGTGTATCTGACTAACAAAATGTTCAAATTTTCCATGCCTATAAGCTACTACAAGGTAGTTCAAGGTTCTTTCATTAAGATCTCTGCATTTCGCGAAAATTCTTGACCCAACAAAACAAAACAAAAACTGGAACTCTCATATCCATGCCAAACATCTTGTGAAGTACTTACTAAGAAATTTCCAAATTATATTTTCTGAATAAGCGTATGTTTTCTGAAAATAAGTGTATTTTCTTCAGTATTTTACCCATTGTGCCAACAATGGCATAATCATTGGTAGATGTTTCACAAGTTATTATGACTAACCTCACCATTGACATCGTGTTGCAAGTAACATATCAGAAATTATGTCTTCTAAATACTAATTAAAAGCCATGAAATTGCACCCAAGCTCAATAAGCAGAGTATTTAAGGGTGAAAACCAGTAATCAATCCCTCATCCCTTAAAAGTTAAAAGTATCCTATTCTAGATCTACCTTTCCTTTGATCATATATGACACCTATGAAGCACGGACACGCATAACATGAAGCCGTGTCGTGTCGTGTCCGTGTTGGACACACGTGTCGAATACACGTATCCTATGTATTTTTTAGGATTTGCCTCGTGTCGGCGTGTCGGATGTGGACACACGTGTCGAATACACGTATCCTATGTATTTTTTAGGATTTGCCTCGTGTCGGCGTGTCGGATGGCCGTGTCGGATCCGTGTTTTTTAGGATTTGCCTCGTGTCGGCGTGTCGGATGGCCGTGTCGGATCCGTGTCCGTGCTACATAGTATGACACTGCTTGCAGATAATTAGTTACAGAGTTACACCATGACCATAAGAAACCATAGTACTTACTGAAGGTGAGGGCTAACTCTTTCATACACTTGATATCCACAGCAACATATAATCAATCACCGTAAGGTAAGCACAGCTTCGACAAGGGTACTCTATACAACTCAGTGTAACCTAACGTCTTCATACCTTAGCATGTAAAATATACCTGTCCTTACAAGTTAGCACATACTTCTGAAGAATTTTAAAATTTTACGAAAAGCCAACAGTGAGTCTAGTAGCATGCAGGATATCGAAGTCAATAGCTTAAATGATCAGTCAACACCACCTAAAACGAAAAACTTGAAAATAAGCCATTGCATTATGGGAACCCACATCTAGAAACACTCTTACGTATGTTACCTGGGTATTTCTAATCTGACACCCTACCTGTACCCACACTCCTTGGACACTCCTTGCATATATGCATACATTTATTCCGGCATGTATTCAACTATGCAATATTTTAGATTTTTAGTTTAAACACTTTTCATACATTTTCCTGAAATTATATCATGCACTTCATATCCACTTCATAATACATTGTACTCACTACGCTTGTCACATCCTATTAATAAAATAACCACATCTAAATAATGACCAATTGATGATAAGCTAATAGGTGATGACCCAGACCAAAAAAGACATGTCATGATGACAAGATTTAGGGCTATAATAAACTGAATTGATGTTGCTTTAACTTGCACAGATACCAACAAACATTCACTCGTGATGCTGACATCTTCAAATATCAAATTTCAAATTGAGTAATAGTGGAAACAGGAATGAGTTGTAGATCTTTTTCTCTATCCAGCTACCTTGTTGTGAATAATCTTTTCTATTGTATACTCAAAAATTCTGGGCCCCCTTACAACAACTTACTTTTCTCTATTTCAATTTACCTTTTGTCGAACTGTCTGCTAGGTATTGGTCAGGTTATTTGACATTTTTAGAATGGTAGAAAGAGCAAACACATTAAGCAATGATTCGAATCATAGTGAAAATTCAAGGTCAACTTTTTAGAAATTTCAACTGTTGTATTCACATCCATGATCAAAGAGTGGAATACAACTGCAACTCAGAGTCCATAATCTTCTTAAAAAACATCCTAATTCTTGAAGTTAGCCTTTGTTTACCTCATTTCTTGTCTTTCTTCTTCTCCTTAAACTCTCCTCCTTTTCCATCGCGAAGAATGACAATGCGAGGAGCAGCAGCTGCAAAGGACTGCAATGATGATAATGAAACTGATCACTCGATCTATAGATAATGATGTCAATGTTGCAAGATATCATTTGGAACGAGTGATCAGATTCATTATTGTTACTGCACTCCTCTACATCTAGTCCTTGCATTCTTCATGAAGGAAGAGGAGGGTTCGAAGAAGATGGAGTAGAAAAAAACAAAAGCCATGAGGTAAACAAGAAAGGTTTAAGGTTTAAGAAGATTTAGGATTTTTTCCCAGGGGATTGTGGACTCTGTTTCGAGAATAGTTTAAAACAAAGATATGGTGTAAGAAGAAATGGAATTAAGGAAGTTTATTTTGGTTTTTCAACTGGAATGTGGATCTGGTTTAGGAAGAAAAGAAAAAAGGTAAGAAAATATGGCGTAAGAAGAAAAAGAATTACAAAAGTTTTGTGGCATTGAGGATCTATTTTGGGAGAGAGTTTAGAGTACGAATCATGAGAGTCTTACAAAAATTGTGAATTTCTTTTGGTGAAACTTACCACATATCTTGTCCTCCCACTCATCATATTCAGAAATCACAGTTAAAGACAATTTTAACTGACAGACAAGAGGAAGATTTGAGTCGCCTAATCACTATATATTATATGCATGTTTATACATGTGTATATGTAATAATATAATCAACATTGCATATGTTATAGTGCAGATAACTTGCAGATTTCTAGTTTTATAGTGTAAGAAATAAAACTTCTAAATCTTATGCATATCCATATGTAACTCCATTATTCCAACTGCAAGTCAAATCCAGCGTTCTAGTCATAGCACTGATGTAAAGATTATGTGATTATGACCTCATTATTAGTCATAACGTCATATCTTAAATGTGTTTGGATCTGCAAATCCTTCTTCACAAATCATTCACCACTGTCCTTAACAAGTTAATATCCAACCTATTTTGGATGATACCATCAACCATTTTCCAATTGTGACAGTATTCCCTCACATTTTTGGGTTGCAGCCTAAAAACCAACAGTTTAGTTGTGACAATTTACCCTAACTTTTGTTTTTCTCAGATGCAGACTACAAATCTAGCAGCTTATATTAAATGCAAATAAGCACCTCCAGAATTTATCAGTTTGATACACAGCTTCACTCTCTGAGAAGTAAGAGGTTCATGAACTTTAAAAATAACAAGCGTTACTTGAAAAAGGTACCGCAATGGGTATTCCTATATTTCACCATTGGTCAAGAGATGAAATATAAAGACTTAACTAGCAATATGTTTACTGGGCACTTCCTTTTGTCTGTTTGTGTGTGTGTGTGTGTGTGTGTGTGTGAGAGAGAGAGAGAGAGCGAGAGAGAGTACTGAAACAGGAAGATTAGACTAGTTATATTGAGAGGTGCATCCTTAGATTCAATCTAAGGTGACTCCTTAGAATCATATATATATATATATATA